GGACGACCGCTTTTTCCGTCTTCGATTTTAATCGAAGGACGGCCGCTATTTCCGTCTTCGATTTTAATCGAAGGACGCAGGGCCGTCTCCAGACCTTTTGGTGCCCTAGACAAATATAACAACATAAACTATAGTCCTAATTTGAATACCAAAAAAAGAATAATTATTTGAAGAAACATTGTTCATATGATAAATTATTTGAAAATTTTTGAAAACAATATACTTAAGAATATATTTTATTAAGATCACATTTAAGATTAGATTTGATAAATATTAAATTTAAGAAAATATTTTATGAAACAAGATTACAATAAAACAAAATTTGATAAATATATCTTGAAATTGAATAGATACTAAATGTTCAGTGTTATCTATTTGTACACGTGTATGATAGAATTTTCGGTAAACAAGAGTTTACTTTTTTTTATCAATCTATACATCGTATGACTATCATATGGAATATCATTTTTTAATTGTTTGATAAATTGTTTAATTGGATATATGAATATCGAAAAACTCATATTCATTAGTACATTTATAAGTTTTTTTTCACTTATTTATAATAATTAGAATATTTTTTTTGTAATGGTGCCCCACATATAATTGGTGCTCTAGGCTCATGCCTACGTTCCTAGGGCCTAAAGACGGCTCTGGAAGGACGACTGCTATTGTTTGTCCTTCATACTCGAAGGGCGGATTTGCTGTCATGGCTCGAGGAGATCGGCGTTGTGGTCAAGGTTCGAGGATGATGTATTGCTGTCGTCGTTGGAGAAGATCGGCGCCGCCTATCCGTTTACTCTGGTTGCATGAAGCAGGGATGGGTTTGGTTATGCAGGGACGAAGGATTGATGCATGGCCTTTGACAGACAAAGGTCACGGAGTATCAATTACGGAGTAGCATGGTACCAGTGGTAAGACCTCCTCCTGAACCACCACCATGGGATGTACGAGGTGCTAGAGTTCGTGAACGCTTTTCTTGTAGTTTTTATCTATTTGTTATTTGTTTTCTTGTGTCCACTTTTGTTGTTAGTTTTGACAGTTTTTTTGAATTTTTTGCCTCTCTTTATGTCATTGGGTATGGTTGGATCTATGGGAATAGGTTTGGCTGTGTCAAGCCCACTACATGGTTAGCGATTCGTGTTGCTCTCTCAGGGGTGACCGTCTCAAAGTCTCACCATAGGGTTACAGTCGTAGTTGTTGAAGTTTCAGTTGGTGTCAGTTTTATTTTCCTTTTGCTTGATGTAATGATCCTGAATCTTTTGATATGAATAGATGCCCGTTTGATGATCAAAAAAAAAAACTCAAAACATAGTTACATTATGGGAAAATAGCCCCAAATAGGACTAAATTAATGCTGAAATTCCAAAATAGGAGTAGTATAATTTTATTCCCTAAATAGGACTTTTCTTCCAATTTTACCCCTAATCATTTAAACCCATCTCACACCCTACCTGTCATTTTATTTGCACATCGATCTCAATTCAACCTGGCCGCATCTTTGTGCGCAGCAGATTGCTTGGCCTCAACCACGAGCAGCAGCAAGCCCCGGCGAAAGCAGCAACGTGCACCGACTAGCGGCGGCAACGTGCGCCGGCGAGCAGCGGCAGCAACCACCAGATCTCCTCTTCCTCTTACTCCTCTGTTTCTTCAAATTTCCCGTCTGGATCTGGTGTAGTGGTGATGTTAGGCTCCGAGTTCTTTTTCTCTCTTCTCATTTGGAATTTTTAATTGCTCTTGAAGGATGCAAACGGGGTTTTCAATTAGGTTGTTAAAATTTCCAAATTTTTTAAAAATGCCATAATATTGGCATTTTTACTCTTTAAAAATTTCGTATTTTTCTTACAAAATGCCATTAAAATGGCAATTTCGATTTATGTTGGCATTCTATTCAAAATTTTGGCATCAGTGGTGGCGTCCGTCGGATCTGTGGTAGCAGCAGCCGGATCGGCGGCTGGATCTGCAGGGTCGGCTGTCGATGGTCAACAGAGGCCAGATCTGCTTCGATCTAGGAAGATGGCGGCCAGATCTACGACGGCGGTCAACAGATCTGCAACAGCGGCTAGTTTTGAGGTTGCGGCGGCTGAAGACGGCATCCGAGACCGGCGGTGGACGGAGGCGGGCGACGGTGGCTGGAGGCGGCCGCAGGTGTCTGGAGGCAGCTGGTCATGCTCTTTGTCGGTGGGAGTCCGTTTGTCAAGCTTCTGGGGGTATTTTTGTGAGGCTACAAATAATAACTCCTATTTTGGGAATTTTTATACTTTAATCCTATTTTGGCAATTAAGAATATAATCACTCTCATTTAGGTAAATCTCCCTTACATTATACTCGTATGAACTATGAATTTTTTATTTTATTTTTTAAATAGTTGAAAAATCTACTTATTTGCTATATATTTTGAAATATATAACAAACAAAATCAATAAAATATATAAAATTTAAACAAATAAAAAATTCATACTTATATTATAAAGTAAACTTAAAATAGAAAATATAGCTTGAAAAACTCTAAAAGGTAGCAGAGTAAAATTTCAAAAACTCGAAAAACAAGTTGTTAAAAATAAAATTAAAATGTTGAACATGTAAGAATTGGGGAAAATTAAAAACATAAATTTCTAACTTAGCAATTTTTTTAAAATATAGGTAAAAAACTTATTACTACTATTATCATCTTATTGTTGTTTTTGGTTTCTTTTTGTTGATAACTTTGAAAGTTTTGTTTCTTTGTTGTTTCTTTGTGTTTCTTGTTGTTGATATTCATAAAACCACATTTATTAACTTAGGTGTCTGTGTGTATTATATATTTGGTGCTTGTATATATATTTATGGGTTTACATTCCAAAGAAGTAGCAAATGTAAAAAAAGTAAATAACAATAAACAACACGATGCAACAAAATGAAACACGATGCAACAAAATGAAACATGATGAAACAAAAAGCAACACATCTGATGTAACAAAAAGAAACATATAAAGGTATCAGAACAAATATATAGCTTGATCTATTATTTCAACGTATTACATGTATCTACTACTATGTAACAAATATATAGCTCGATCTATTATTTCAACATATTACATGTATCTACTACTACGTATATTATTAGGTTTTGCATCTTATCATTCATTCTTCTTTTTATCCATCTTGATACAAAATTCTTCATACTTGACTATCTGATCTTATCTTAATATTCCTCATTGATCTTCTCAATTTTATTATCATCTTCATGTGCTTCTTTTTCTTGTCTATGCGTGCATATCTGCAATGAGATCACAATCACAATGACACAAATGTAATATAGAGTAATAAAGTAGACAAAAATGCTTTATACACCAAAATATATCTACAAACAATTTGACAACATGTATATTTTTAATCCCGGTAAACATAGTCTGAAGTAACTTAGGTAACTATACACCTTGGCTTCAAGGTACAATAACAACTTTACCTAATAGGGAAAAGGTAGTATTATTCAAGCACAGACATATATATCACTCTTCATATACACCTTGAAAAGTGGGCAGATTGCAATTACATAATTTAACAACTCTAAGAAACCTGCACAAAGTAACAAAGAAATAGAAACAGAGCATAAGTAATTTGAAGCACTAATTTTATGGCCACGATTTTAATTTATCTTCTTCATTTAACGTCCTAGTTAGTAGTTAACAATACCTAATAAAAGAAAAACATGAATCCTTGGTAATGTTTGAGATAAATAACACCCAGATGCTCCTTTTTAAGTATGGAAAACTTAAAAGAGCTGCATAAGTTTAACATTCATACTAAAACAGATCCCGAATAACAAAAAGGTGGTCATATTTCAAGTATAGAAAGGTAAAAAACTGTAAATAGTTTAATACTCATACCAAAATAGATCCTGATGCTGCTTTCACTACAGTAGATCCTGCAGAAGCACTGCAAAATCCAGCATAAGCGGTGTTTCCAAATTCCGCATAAGAAGATCCTGAGTCATGTATTCACTACACTAGTGTTTAGCACTACAAATGCAATAGATTGTACTTGAAAGCTAAGTTAGTTAGCTACCAAAAAAGGTGCAGGAGTTCAATTTATGAATGCTCATTGTTAAAACAAATAAAGGATAGAAGAGGTGGAGGAACAACCTGAGAATAAATGGCCAAAGTATTGATGGAGAAATTGATCGATCCGTCGGCTAAAGGAATGATGGAGAAATCGATCGATCGATCGACCAGATGAAGGATTGATGGATTCCAATACCTTAGGGATCTAGGACCAGTCGGATGGTGACAAATTGATACTTTTTCAAGGACTTTGCAAGACAATAGATGAGATTTCAAATTGAACGAAGGGGATGGGGTGTATCAAGATGGCACCGGTGAAGCTACTTCCGTCGATGATGACTAAATGAAGAGTCAGACGAATTCCTGCACTTTCGAGACATAGACGATGGAGAGACGAGGAAGAACCCATCTCCCCCTATCTCCACCTTGAAATTACCGAATCCAACTTCTCGTTATTTAGGGATTTGAGTTAGATTTAAGATAGGGAAAATGGAAACTAATAATCCAACCTTTTAGCGGTCTACTTTTAATAGTCCCACCTTTTCGTTATTCATGAATAATCCAACCTTTGCACCTCATCTTATTCACTGGTCCCCGACCGATTGATGACATGTTATTCCAAGTTATTTTCTTATCTTTGCAAAATATTATCTTTATGAAATGTGGAATTTATGGTATAATAGTTTGCAGAGATAAGAAAATAACTCGGAATAGTAGGTCATCAACCGGTCGGGGACCAATTAATGAAGATGAGGTGCAAATGTTGGATTATTCATGAGTAACAAAAATGTCGTATTATTAAAAGAAGACCGCTAAAAGGTTGGATTATTAATTTCCATTTTCCCTTTAAGGTATGGATTGTTTTTGAAATAGAATAAATAAAAGTGAAAAGAGAAAAGTTTAAAAATGAAAAGTAAATAACCCTGCGGTGACATAAATGAAATTCATCCGGTAAAAGTGGCCTGAATGGGATCACTAAATAAAAATAAAAGTGCGGCCCATATGGCAGGGTAGTGGTGGGTGAAGGAAGAAGGCAGGGAGATGGGGGTGTTGGGATGCATAGGGGTGATTTCCCCGTTCCCGTTCTACTACTGGCTCTGGACTCGTCCTCAAGCATGGGTGGATCTTTGCGGGGAACTGCGAGATCCATCTCACGCCATGGCCATGGTTTCTCACGCGCTCAAGCTCCTCCAGTTCCTCTCCCTTCTCTCCGTCTCCTCGCTTTCTTGGCCCCCGCCTTTCTACTTCTGGCCTCTCTTCTCGTTTGGTCAGTTCCTCAACTTCAGGTTATTGCTCCCTTACCCTCAATTGTACGCTTCTGTTTCAATTATTATGACTACAGTCACGACATTTGATTCAAAATAGTACATGCAATGTTGTTCTTGACAGAGCATCTATCAAAAAAGAAATTTAAATTCATTAGATGATGAAGTTTCCGTGAGTGATTCGAGCATTCTGCATTGCCAATCCTCAATGTTTGCTCTTTTGGTGGAATTGAATGTTGAATGCAAGATTATATTGGTGGAATTTAAATTCATTAGATGATGAAGTTTCCGTGAGTGATTCGAGCATTCTGCACATGCCTGATGTCTGTAATCTTATATGATGGATTAATGCATTGTTGTTCTTCAAATGGAAGCTGTCCATCAAAAAACAAAATGTTTTTGAATTAACTAATGCATTTTCAATTAACCATTTTTTTAGAATTTAATTACACGTCCACAGTTGTACTGAGGGAGTTGATTGAGTACTGACTAGCTATGGTGCGAATGTGTGATATCCCACTTGGCTTTTGGTTTGAGTCTAAATGCACACATTCTAATGAAAAACATCTCCGGTTACTTGGAAAACTGTTGTGTATGCTACCATGTTTGTATCATGTTGTCATATACAAGGGTCCTTTTATTCTTTTTTGAGCGAAGATTGCTTGTACCTGTAAGTCTGCTATGTCTAGGTTCAACATCACTGCCTCATAACTGTGCAGATTCACCATTACATTTGATTAAAAAGCTTCACGTTTGCACACTATCTTGTCTTTGTTTTGTGTTTTTAGGATATATGCATCAAAGATTTCAAAAGGAAAAAACAAACTGTTTTACACTGCATACCTAACCATTTGTTTGCATTACTTGTGGTGTCTAAAAATGCCTATCTTTACACCGGAAATTCTTCTATATTTATTTCATACACTGATACAAGAAATTCTATCTAAAAAGTGAGCACATAAAGTTTCAATTGGAGTGAAGTCGGTGAACTGAACATATTAAATGATATTTAGTTGTACAGTGTAATTTTAAGTATGTCACTAATTAATTAGTGTGATAATGCTTGTTGTAGGGTATACCAATTGTTAGGAGAGTCAGGGACCTACTATGGTGTTCGGTTTGGGAAGAACATTCCGTGGGTGACACAGTTTCCATTTGGAGTCATAAGGGATCCACAGTACGTTGGTAGCATATTAAGCCTTATCGCTTGTTTGTCATGGGTCCCTTTCTCGTATATCCTCCTTTGGATCCTCGGCTATGTGTTTATGATTTATGCAGAGTCTAAGGAAGATCCATCAACTCGTGCTAAGCCATTGAACCAAAACGATGTAAGGAACTAGTTATGAGGCGTGGCCGCGTTTAAGGTGACAAAGAGTTTCTTGAAACACTACAGTAGTATATTAATTGCAAAGGCTGGGTTTTGTGTTGGTTTAACATTTCTTTTTGCCATTCTTTTTATTATCCGAAAATTCTACCATCGTCTTGTTACTAGGGAGAGGTTGAGCCTATCTTTTAACCATTTTTAGCAATTTATACATATTCGTGAGCCTATCTTAACAAATGTGAAGTATATGTAATATTGATATCCTTTTCCTTTCTTTCTCAAGCAAGAAATAAAAATAGTAGAATAGCTAACACTACTTTTTTAATAAATTTAGAGTGACCAACACTATTTTGATAATTTGTTTGAATCAATTAAATTGGCTCAGTCTCTAGAAGTTTTGTGAAATTCTAGATGAAACAGATGAATTCACTAAATCTGTTGAATTATAGGAAAATTATCCTACGCATTATTATTATTATTATTATTATTTAATAGATTAAAGAAAAAATCATATGAAAATAGCTAAAAACTCACAAAATTCGGTCAGAAACGTAACTTCAATATTATTTCCTTTGATTATTGCACAATTTAGCGTGCATAGTAAAAAAATTACATATTTGATAAAAAAGTTTACTGATAAGGTTGAAAACTGAAAATATTAGTTATCAAATAGGCTCTTAAATAGTTTTGGGAAAGATAGGAGATGTAATTAGGAAAATCTACCTCATCTACTATCTGTATTCAACAATTATTTGTAATGTGAATATTGGTAATGTGAATATTTTGAATTTGTTTCTTAGTCTCTATTTTTGACTTATCAGACTGATCAAATAAATTTTTATGAACCATGTAAATTTTCATTTCAGACGTTGAAATGGCTAACTATTAAAGAAAGGTAAAATTGGTTTTGAATTTGTAAACAAAGACTACTTTAGTTATTTTTATAAAGTGCATGTTTTTATAAATCAGTATATTCAGAAATTTGATCCGAATTTCATACTACGTAAAATTTAACTTAATCGATCGACTTGACCGATCTCATTGTTATCAAAAGGGCTCTTCAAAATTAGAGCGTATAAGAAATTTACCACCTTTGTAATAATTTAATAAAGGATCACTTCAAATTATATAGAGTAACTTTTAGGTACTCCGTATGTTTTAAATCAAGGACGTACCGCATGCATAGGAGATGATATTGAGTTGGGCGCTCCAACCCGCATGGGTAGCTAACGGTGGCTGAGTGGAGAGTGTGAGAGTTTCATCCAATGTGGTGGCTCTTTGTACGCACGGGACTCTTAACCACCTCACTTAAAAACTATTTGAGATCATATCGTGATTTATTCCTCCACCACTCCGTCGAGTCAGAGTGTGGGGGGAACTTGGGGTGGGTGATTCTACTTTTTGGGTGGGGGTTGGGTGGCACTCCAAATTCAGGAAAATCTTATGCAATGTCGCAGTGAGGGGAGGATTTAGCATCAAAGGAGTTGGAGCACATGCCCAAATAACATTTTTATAGAGAGCAATAGATTAAGAGTATACATAAATAAAGGGGGAAGATGCAATTTTTTTTAAATAGATTAAAGAAAAAATAGCTAAAAGCTTTGTAAATTCAAAAGTAACTTCAATATTACTTATTTTGACCATTGCACAATTCTAGCGCGGGGATAAAAAATTATGTCTTTGATAAAAAAAAGTTGGTTGATAAGGTTGATAAACTGAAAATATGAGTTATCAAATAGGCTCTTAAATAGTTTTGCGGAAGATAGGTGATGTAATTAGGAAAATCTACCTTATCTACTACTCTATACTCATTAAACACTTATTTGTAATGTAAATATTTTGTTTTTTTCTAAGTCTCTATTTTTGACTTGACAAAATAACTTTTATGAACTATGTATTTTTTTCATTTCAAACGCTGAATTGGCTAGCTATTAAAGAAAAGGATAATTGCAAACAAAGACTATTTTAGTTATTTCATAAAGTGCGTGTTTTTATGATCAAGTATTTTGAGAAAGTTGATCCAAATTTATAATATTTAACATTATCAATCGAGTTTCATCAAATGTGGTGGCTCCTTGTGCGCATCGGATCCTAAACCACCTTACTCAGAAACTGTTTGAGATCATACTGTGATTTATTCCTCCACTATTCTGTCGGATCGGAATATGGGAGCGTCTGGGGTGGACAATTCCACTTTATGGGTTGGGATTCGACGCTCCAAATAAAAAAAGAAAATCTTATGCAATGTGGGGAGGATTTAGCACCAATGGTATGGGAGCACATGCCCCAATAACTGGGGTGGACAATTCCTCTTTATGGGTTGGGGTTGGGCGCTCCAAATAAAAATAAAAAGAAAATCTTATGCAATGAGGGGATGATTTAGCATCAAAGGTATGGGAGCACATGCCCCAATAACATTTTCATATTGAGCAATAGATTAAGGAGAAAAGTGTCAGTTTAGTACATCAAGTTGTAAGCGGGGGAGTAAAGAGTACATCATTTTGCAAGTGTGATTGAGAGGTACATGAAATCGTCAAATCAGTGCTAATTGAGTCCATCGATGTATTAGAACGTTTAAAACGCCTAGGTGGCAAAGAGATTAGTGATATGGCAAAATAAAAGCCACCTCATCAGCTAACTTGATGTCAGCCTTGCCTTGCCTCCTCTGAACCAGGTCTTCCTTTCCTCACAGGGCTATCATCTCTGAACCAGCTCTCCTTGCTTCCTCGGAATCAAACCAAAACCCACCTATGACATCTAAAATCTTTGCACCTGTGACATCAGAATGAAACCTAAGAAATATGTCAAGAAAATTTAGGAAACAAAAACCTTTTTTTTTTCATCAAAATGTACTAGATCGAGAGAGATAGAAAAGAAAACGTACGGTGTTGATTTTGCCAAAGTGCAGGCTATTGGGAGAACAATGGATGCATTATTGCTTCGTCTCATGCCATTATAAATTGAGCCTATGTATATAAAAGATTTCATCAAAACTTCCACATTTAATTATATTTCAACGTAAAATGCATGGGTAAATTAATTTAATATACACAAAATTACAAAAGCAGAGAAAGTGACTAAGAGGGAATTGGATACTTCTGCTACAATCAAGAAGAGCACCTTCATGGACCATTGTGGTGAAAGGGAGCAGAGTGGGATAGTTTTCTGACGTCAAATAAACGTCCACAGCCGCTGCCATCACTCCAACCGTCATCATATCTACACAAAACACACAAATTAAAGATGACTATTGCTCGAGTAAACAAAGAACAAAAGAATAAATAAAAAGAAAAGAAAAGGATCTGGGGACTGGGAGAAGGACAGAAAACAAAATTAAAATGTTTGGTTTGATGTGTAAATCTTGAAGATATCTTTGCAATAGAGAGTTAATCGGATATCAGAAGGGGTTCTTTTTCGTTAATTACAAATCTGTCAAAAGCGACTTCAGATTTGTCCTCTTTACAATGGTTCTTGAGCTATCCTTCAGATTTAGTGTAGGTCGGCTCAGTATAGATTCTTGGTTTAATTCCGATGATTTCAAACGCCACAGGCGGGCTTTGGTTTAATTCCGATGAGGCAAGGAAGAGCGGGTTCAGAGGAGACTACGCAAGGGTGACATGAGGTGGCTTTTATTTTGCCATATCACTAATCCCATTGCCACCTAGGCATTTTAAACGCTCTAATACACCGATATACTCAATTAGCACTGATTTGGCAATTTCGTACCTTTCAATCACACTTGCAAAGTGATGTACTCTTTACTCCCCTGCTTACAACTTGGTGTACTAAACTGACACTTTTCTCATAGATTAAGAGTGCACGTAAACAAAGAGAAAAGGTGCAAATATAAGTATATGCCCAAGTGAAGTCGTGTATATATACCCCTCAAGTTCTAAAAAGTACTAGAATATCCCTATTATTCCTACAAAGGGACAAATTAGTTTTTCTTGAATTTAAATAAACCAAATAAATTCTAAAAATGCCAAAATTAAATTATATATTGATTTTGAAGATTGAAAATTAAAATTTTAAATAACATATATCTATTATGTGTTCAATGCTCCCTTTTAATACTGCTAGCGTAAAAAATTGTTTCAAAACTTCACTATATATTTATGGTTCTCTTGGAAAATGTTAATATATTTGTTGCAATGAAACAAATTCATTAATTTCTAGTATTGATTGCAATAATGAAATTACTTAACACATTTTGTATGATGATAAATAGGCCAAGATTACTCTTAATTTTATTAAGTTTCAATAACACCAAAGAATGTTAATTATTTCAAAAAAATGTGACAATGTGTTCAAAATTTGGAAACAAGACTAACATTACTATTTGTGAATTTGAAGTGCTTCTTCACAAGGGAAAATAATAATTTTTCCAATGAAAAATTAAAGCATTAATATTTTAACATAAAATAAAAATTTTATTCAGTTTAGTAACAGTTATTTAATAGAGAGTTAATTCTATTTTTTAAGAAAACTAAGTATTTCATTTTAAATATTTCCTTTTTTGAACCCAATGTTTTTTTTCAGTTTTTAATTTTTATTTATTTAAAACCATCAAGGGCTCATTTTCTCTTTTATAGGAACATTAGAGGTATCCTTGTACATCTTAGAACTTGAGGGGTATATGTGATATGCACATGCACATATAATTCAAGAGTATATTTGCACATTTACCCCATAAATATATACGTTTTCCTTTGTGAAAACAGTTGCCCCGATTTAGTTCCTAAGCATTAGTGCTTTCCCCATTCAGTTATCATCCTCAAGTTGCTTTACACTATTTTGGAATCAGTAGAAAATTATGAATTTAAGAGTAACAATAGATCACTAAGCTTAATCGAGTGAACAAGCATTTATACAACAACAACAACATCCAAGCCTTAGTCCCAAACGATATTGGGGTCGGCTAACATGAATCGATATATGATATCACCAAAAGGAAAAGAACGAAAATAAAGATAAAAAGATAAGCTATTATAAAAAAAAGATAATATAAAAGAGATGAATATACATATAACAGATCAAATAAAAAAGGATAAAGTAATATTTATATATAAGGATAAAAAAAAAGATGATACAAGATCACTCTTCCACACGAATACCCGCCCTCCATTTTGCTCTCTCCAAAGCCATACTCTCATCCAATCCAAGAAAAAGCATATCACTTCTGACTCCCCTAACCCACGTCTATTTGGGCCTTCCTCTCCCCCTCTTCCCTACCTCTTCTCCACACATCTCAACTCGTCTGACAGGTGCATCACTCGGTCTTCTATGCACATGACCAAACCACCGTAGGCGTGACTCCCGCATCTTATCTTCAATAGGTGCTACTCCCACCCTT